ATCACCCAAAATCACCCCAAAATCATCAAAATTCACCCAAAATCACCCCAAAATCACCCCAAATTGGGCTGAAATCACCCCAAAATCACCCCAAATCACCCAAAATCACCCCAAAATCATCAAAATTCACCCAAAATCACCCCAAAATCACCCCAAATTGGGCTGAAATCACCCCAAAATCACCCCAAATCACCCAAAATCACCCCAAAATCATCAAAATTCACCCAAAATCACCCCAAAATCACCCCAAATTGGGCTGAAATCACCCCAAAATCACCCCAAATCACCCAAAATCACCCCAAAATCATCAAAATTCACCCCAAATCACCCCAAATCACCCCAAATTTACCCAAAATCACCCAAAATCACCCCAAAATCACCCAAAATTACCCAAAGTCACCCAAAATCACCCAAAATTACCCAGTCACCCAAAATCACCCCAAGTTCATCAAAATTCACCCAAAATTCACCCAAAATTCACCCAAAATCACCCAAAATCATCCAAAATTCACCCAAATTCACCCAAAATTTACCCCAAAATCATCAAAATTCACCCAAAATCATCAAAAATCACCCCAAATTTACCCAAATTTACCCAAAATCACCCCAAATTCACCCAAAGTCACCCCCAAATTCATCAAAATTCACCCAAAATCACCCCAAATTTACCCAAATTCACCCAAATTTACCCAAGTTTACCCAAAATCACTTAAAATTCACCCAAAATCCATCAAAATTCACCCAAAATCACCCAAATTCACCCCAAATTCACCCAAAATCACCCCAAATTCACCCAAATTCACCCAAAATCACCCAAAATCACCCAAATTCAACCCAAATTCACCCAAAATCACCCAAAATCACCCAAATTCACCCAAAATCACCCAAAATCATCAAAATTCACCCAAAATCACCCAAAATCACCCCAAATCACCCCAAATTCAACCCAAATTCACCCAAAATCACCCAAAATCACCCAAATTCACCCAAAATCACCCAAAATCATCAAAATTCACCCAAAATCACCCAAAATCACCCCAAATCACCCCAAATTCAACCCAAATTCACCCAAAATCACCCAAAATCACCCAAATTCACCCAAATTTACCCAAAATCACCCAAATTCAACCCAAATTTACCCAATTTTACCCAAAAACATCCAAAATTCACCCAAAATCACCCAAAATTCATCAAAATTCACCCCAAAATATCCCAATAAATCCCCAATAAATCCCCAATAAATTTCTAATAAATCCCCAATAAATCCCCAATAAATCCCCAATAAATCCCCAATAAATTTCTAATAAATCCCTAATAAATCCCCAATAAATCCCTAATAAATCCCCAATAAATTCCCATAAAATTCCCAATAAATTCCTATTAAATTGCTAATAAATTCCAAATAAATTTATATAAAATTCCCAATAAATCCCCAATAAATCCCCATTAAATTCCTATTAAATTGCCATTAAATTCCCAATAAATCCCCAATAAATCCCCATAAAATTCCCAATAAAATCCCAATAAAGCCCCATTGAATTCCCAATAAATCCCCATTAAATCCCCAATAAATCCCCATAAAATTCCCAATAAATCCCCATAAAATTCCCAATAAATCCCCAATAATTCCCCATTAAATTCCTATTAAATTCCCATAAAATTCCCATAAAATCCCCAATAAATCCCCATAAAATTCCCAATAAATCCCCATAAAATCCCCATAAAATTCCCAATAAATCCCCAATAATTCCCCATTAAATCCCCAATAAATCCCCATAAAATCCCCATTAAATCCCCATAAAATCCCCATAAAATCCCCATTGAATCCCCGTAAAATCCCCAATAAATCCCCGTGGAATTCCAACCGAACTCCCGTGGAATTCCCATGGAATTCCCGTGGAATTCCCGCAGTCCAACGGCTGGGATCCCAACGAGATGTTCCGCTTCAACGAGGAGAATTACGGCGTCAAGAGCACCTACGACTCCAGCCTGGCCGCCTACACGTGGGTCTGGGGGGGATCCCGGGGGGGATCCGGGAATTCTGGGAATGCTGGGAATGGTGGGGGATTTTTGGGGAATTTTTTGGGAATTTTTTGGGATTTTTTTGGGGATTTTTTGGGGATTTTTTGGGATTTTTTGGGGATTTTTTGGGGTTTTTTTTATATTTTTTGAGATTTTTGGGAATTTTTGGGAATTTTTGGGAATTCTTTGGGAAGTTTTTTTGAATTTTTGGGGGGATTTTTTTGGCTTTTTTGGGCATAATTTGGGTTTTTTAGGGGAGGTTTTTGGGGCATTTTGGGTCCATTTTTGGGCCATTTTGGGTGTGATTTTGGGTTATTTCAGTGCCATTTTTGGGCCATTTTGGGTGTGATTTTGGGTTATTTCAGTGCCATTTTTGGGCCATTTTGGGTGTGATTTTGGGTTATTTCAGTGCCATTTTTGGGCCATTTTGGGTGTGATTTTGGGTTATTTCAGTGCCATTTTTGGGCCATTTTGGGTGTGATTTTGGGTTATTTCAGTGCCATTTTTGGGCCATTTTGGGTGTGATTTTGGGTTATTTCAGTGCCATTTTTGGGCCATTTTGGGTGTGATTTTGGGTTATTTCAGTGCCATTTTTGGGCCATTTTGGGTGTGATTTTGGGTTATTTCAGTGCCATTTTTGGGCCATTTTGGGTGTGATTTTGGGTTATTTCAGTGCCATTTTTGGGCCATTTTGGGTGTGATTTTGGGTTATTTCAGTGCCATTTTTGGGCCATTTTGGGTGTGATTTTGGGTTATTTCAGTGCCATTTTTGGGCCATTTTGGGTGTGATTTTGGGTTATTTCAGTGCCATTTTTGGGCCATTTTGGGTGTGATTTTGGGTTATTTCAGTGCCATTTTTGGGCCATTTTGGGTGTGATTTTGGGTTATTTCAGTGCCATTTTTGGGCCATTTTGGGTGTGATTTTGGGTTATTTCAGTGCCATTTTTGGGCCATTTTGGGTGTGATTTTGGGTTATTTCAGTGCCATTTTTGGGCCATTTTGGGTGTGATTTTGGGTTATTTCAGTGCCATTTTTGGGCCATTTTGGGTGTGATTTTGGGTTATTTCAGTGCCATTTTTGGGCCATTTTGGGTGTGATTTTGGGTTATTTCAGTGCCATTTTTGGGCCATTTTGGGTGTGATTTTGGGTTATTTCAGTGCCATTTTTGGGCCATTTTGGGTGTGATTTTGGGTTATTTCAGTGCCATTTTTGGGCCATTTTGGGTGTGATTTTGGGTTATTTCAGTGCCATTTTTGGGCCATTTTGGGTGTGATTTTGGGTTATTTCAGTGCCATTTTTGGGCCATTTTGGGTGTGATTTTGGGTTATTTCAGTGCCATTTTTGGGCCATTTTGGGTGTGATTTTGGGTTATTTCAGTGCCATTTTTGGGCCATTTTGGGTGTGATTTTGGGTTATTTCAGTGCCATTTTTGGGCCATTTTGGGTGTGATTTTGGGTTATTTCAGTGCCATTTTTGGGCCATTTTGGGTGTGATTTTGGGTTATTTCAGTGCCATTTTTGGGCCATTTTGGGTGTGATTTTGGGTTATTTCAGTGCCATTTTTGGGCCATTTTGGGTGTGATTTTGGGTTATTTCAGTGCCATTTTTGGGCCATTTTGGGTGTGATTTTGGGTTATTTCAGTGCCATTTTTGGGCCATTTTGGGTGTGATTTTGGGTTATTTCAGTGCCATTTTTGGGCCATTTTGGGTGTGATTTTGGGTTATTTCAGTGCCATTTTTGGGCCATTTTGGGTGTGATTTTGGGTTATTTCAGTGCCATTTTTGGGCCATTTTGGGTGTGATTTTGGGTTATTTCAGTGCCATTTTTGGGCCATTTTGGGTGTGATTTTGGGTTATTTCAGTGCCATTTTTGGGCCATTTTGGGTGTGATTTTGGGTTATTTCAGTGCCATTTTTGGGCCATT